CCCGCAGCACGCGGCGCGGTGCCGGACCCCAGGCTCAGCTCCCTGCGCGCTCGCCAACTATTGCAAAATATCCTGTCCCTTCGCCGGGAGCGCGGGGTGTGCGGAGACACCTTCGCCTGTCCCTCCCCGCGGCCGGCCGGCCCCTTCCTTCCTCCTGCTTTTCCAGGCGGTGTCAGCTGCTTTCTAGGGAAGCACACGGACAGGTATCCGAGAGGGACGGAGCCCAAGACGAGGCTGGAAGCAAAGGTAGGAAGGAGAAGGGAGACAGGAGCCGGGTATCCCCAGGCTTTGCCGCCTTCCCCAGGGGGAAGAGGAGGATGCAGGTGTCGGGCAGCCCTGTCCAACATCCCGGCTGTCCCAGCCCCTCGCTGGCTCCATCGGGAGCATCCCACGAGCATCCCGGTGGCACGTGGTGGCGGGGAAGCTGCACCGGAGCTGCTGGGGTTGCACCGGGGCTGCGGCGCTGCAGCTCGGCACGCTTGGAGATGCTGCGGCGGCCGCGGAGCGAGCGGAGCAAGCGGAGGGCTCTGCGCTGCGTTGGGTCACACTATGACCCCGACGTTGTCCCTTGCAGAGCTGCAAAGACCCTGCGCCCCGAAATGCTGCTCTTCGGGAACCGGCCTCCTCTGCCGGGTGCTGCGCGCTTGGCGCTCGCTCTCCGCGCCTCCCCCTCTGGATTCCCCGACAGCGCCTGCCCGGAAAGCCGGCCGTTTCCCAGCACTCTGGAATTGTTTATCGGGAGCAGGGAGGCCCCTCGCGGAGGAGGGACGAGCGGCCGCCCGGCGCGGAGCCTTGTCCTGCTCCGGGTGGTTTCTGGACATGCGGGACTCAGCGCCCCGCGGTGCCGGCTGTGCCGGGGGGATCCCGGTGGGATCGCCGGGATGCTGCGGGAGGCAGGGAGGTGCCTGGACACCAGAGCGTGGCCCCGCACACGGTGCTGAGGGCACTAATCCAGCTGTGCTCGTGCCAGATGTGGCTGCTGGTTTAACCCCATCCAGGCTGGAATTCACTTCAGCTGTGAGGGAAGGAGGGAGCAAACTGTGTCCCCCCGATATTGCTCAGGCCCCCAGTCCCACGGCAGGATGTTGTCCCTGCCCTAGGGCAGGGGTTCCCAGCCCCACATCAGGGAGTCCCAGCCCTTGTGCTGGGGGTCCCAGCCCCACAGCTCCAAATGCCAGTCCCAGTGCAGGGGGTCCCAGCCCCATTGCAGGGGGTTCCAACCCCATTGCGGGGGACCCAGTCCCATTGCACTGAGTCCCATCCCCAGCGCGGGAGGTCCCAGCCCCATTGCAGGGGACCCAGCCCCATTGCAAGGGGTCCCAGTCTCAGTGCAGGTGGTCCCAGCCCCATTGCAGGGGGTTCCAACCCCATTGCGGGGGTCCCAGTCCCATTGCACTGAGTCCCATCCCCATTGCAGGAGGTCCCAGCCCCATTGCAGGGGACCCAGCCCCATTGCAGGGGTCCCAGTCTCAGTGTAGGGGGTCCCAGCCTCATTTCAGGGGGTTCCAGCCCCATTGCGGGGGTCCCAGCCCCATTGCACTGAGTCCCATCCCCAGCGCGGGAGGTCCCAGCCCCATTGCAGGGGTCCCAGTCTCAGTGCAGGTGGTCCCAGCCCCATTGCAGGGGGTTCCAACCCCATTGCGGGGGACCCAGTCCCATTGCACTGAGTCCCATCCCCAGCGCGGGAGGTCCCAGCCCCATTGCAGGGGACCCAGCCCCATTGCAAGGGGTCCCAGTCTCAGTGCAGGTGGTCCCAGCCCCATTGCAGGGGGTTCCAACCCCATTGCGGGGGACCCAGTCCCATTGCACTGAGTCCCATCCCCAGCGCGGGAGGTCCCAGCCCCATTGCAGGGGACCCAGCCCCATTGCAAGGGGTCCCAGTCTCAGTGCAGGTGGTCCCAGCCCCATTGCAGGGCCCCCCGCGCGGCCGCCTGGTGCCGCGTCCCGCCCCGACGCGCCGGTGAGGGGCGTGCGGCGCTCGCTGGGCGCGAAGGGGTTAAATCGCGGGAGGAGAGGGAAGTTCTCCCCGCGTTGCGACTGCCAGGAGGGGTCACGGTGCCTTTCTGGCCCCCGGGTTTTATCGCAGGAGTCTCAGCGCGATCAGCGGGGCAGCAGAAAAGCAGGCTGAAATGTTGCCGTTGGCAAACGGAGCGCGGGAATTGGAGCTGCTTGGAAGTTTTGTTCCTAGTGGAAAGCAAGGGGTCGAACACGCGAAATGCCGCTTGTAGCCTGGGCGAGTTTGGAAAGTGTAAACAAAAAGGAAACGCATGTTAGGTTGTGATTAGAAGCAAAACCAGTTATCTTAAAATCAACACAAGTGCTTTCTGGAACAAAGAAATATTTTCTTTAAAAGAGCCCGCCCGCCGTGCTGGAGTAGCTGCTCTTGGGCGGCTGCTTTTCCAAGCAAGAGTCGATGGGTTGGCACCGTCCCCGCTCCCGCCCGGCGCTCCGGAGCTTCTCCGTGCACTGCAAATATTCCGGGCTCGGCGCCAGGCTTTGTAGCAGGTGACGCCGCGCGCGGGCTCTGCCGTCTCAGCGTTCTGGGACGTTGCCTGCTTTGCAAACACTGGATCGGGCGGGGAAAACAAGCTCGTTTTCCACTTTGCAGGCAGGGAAAATAGCATTTTTCACTGTGTGCGGCAAAGCCGCGTCCAGGAGGCTACCAACAAGTTCCCCAGTGTCCCTCTTAACCCCAAACAACCCCCTTATTGCTCTCTCTGTGCCCCCTATCCCACCTGCCCCCGCAAATGGGGCTGCCGGGCTGCCTGGGTTAACAATACTGCCGACGAGCC